AGTTTGGTGATTTGCTTTCTATCCTTATGTTGCAGTATGAATCCGATCACTAAGTTTTTTGCTCTATGAAGGACTTATCACACTATTGATATTGTCAGAGTAATCACTCCGAAATGGATAGCCAGGTTGAATATGATGATGGTATATGCATATTGGACGGGTTGTCTATCTCTCTGGCTGTATTTGCTACAATTTGGCAGATTTATGGGCATCTACAAAAATACAGTGGTTTTTGTTACAAACATTTGGGTTTATGATTAAAATAGTTTGAAATTATGGTTTTTTATACATACATAAAAGGTACAATCTATTTTGTTGGTAATGCGTGGATGACTTTATTTTCAGGATTTTTCACAGATGTTATGTTTCCATACAAATAGAAATCAGAGATTATAATTGTTGCTTAATGAAATTAACTGTGAAGTAAACAAACTATGAAAATGAATGTAGTACAAAGTTACAAACAAGATTACAGTTACAAAAGTAAGAGCTGTTTTAAGAAAGGTTACACAAGTTTTTGCAGCTAGTTGGCTTGTACAAACAATGTTTTCTACTACAGAATTGATGCTACTATAGGGTGGTATCCTGTTTTGGTGATATAAGTATTACCTGCTGTCTAATAGGTTTCAAATGTTTAAGTAAGGATTCCAGATGAGATCTAGTTGTACCTGTGTTTTTGTTTATTCTTACATTATCATAGATTTTGATAATTTCTATATGTTCATATAATTTATGTTTGGTAGTATTTCTTTTGGTTTTAATATTTTTAACAGATCTATTAATATTGCAATTATGGAATACACAGTGTTTAACAACAGTGGAGTTTTTAAGGTTGTACGAGGGCTATTTTGTAAATAAGGTCTGTCTGTGAATGAGAGTGAGAATGACGTGCCATCCCAGCACTGTCTGCTTTGAGCATGCTTTGTGCACGTTTAGACACCATTTGCAGCTGTATCGTCTGTCTGTGTGCTGAGCTGTAAAAGTTTATAATGTTTAAGAGAATTGAGTCACCTGCCGACTGTGAGATACGATCTGTTATTCGATTCTTGAGGGCTAGAAACTTGGCAGCAGCGGAAATTCACCGTCAGATTTGTGAAGTTTATGGTGATAATGCTATGAGTGACAGTAAAGTTCAAAAGTGGGTGAGAATGTTCAAGGACGGGCAGGTTAATGTGCATGATAACCCGTGCCCTGGCTGACCTCCTATGATTTCTGAAGATATGGTTTGTGATGTGGATAACAAAATTTGAGAGGATTAACGATTCACGATTTCAATGCTACCAATTGAATTTCTGCAGGCTTCAAGATCAGTTTTGTATACCATTGTTTCAGAGAAACTGAATTATCGAAAATTGTATTCTCGGTGGATTACAAGACTACTTTCTGATGATCAGAAAACAAAAAGATTGGGCAGTGCTTTATCGTTTTTAACTCAATACGATCAGGAAGGAGACGAATTGTTGGACCACATCATTACAGGAGATGGGTGTCTCACATGACTCCTGGTCTAAGCAACAGTCAATGGAATGGGACACACATCTTCGCCAACCAAAGTGAAAGCCAAACAGTCCATTTCAGCACGGAAAATTATGGCAACTGTCTTTTGGGACAGGAAAGGGATTTTGTTAGTGGATTTTATGCCGAGAGGCACAATGATCAATTCTGATGGCTATTGTGTGACCTTGAGAAAATTCTGTAGTGTCATATTAAACAAGCAGTGTGGTCTACTGTCTTGCTGTGTGGTGTTGCTCCATGACAATGCAAGGCCACATGTTTCTGCACAAACACAAGGAACAACTGTATCATCTACCTTACAGTCCAGACCTTGCACCCAGTGATTTTCATCTGTTACGATACTTAAGGGAGTTTTTTGGTGGCCAACGGTTCAATGACAAACTGAAAACTGCAGTCATGGATTCGGCTTTTTTACAGGTGGCAGATTTCTTTGAAGTTGGAGTTCAAAAAATTGTTGAGCAGTATGACAAATGTTTGAACAAAAATGGAAATTATGTAGAAAAGTAGATAAAAGTATGTAGAATATGGGAAAAAAACATATTTGCAGTATTTTTCTTCTTATTAAAAAAACGGACCTTATTCAAAAAATAGCTTATTTTATAGCATTGATGTGTTAAAGTTTATTTTCAATTTTTTTTTTTGTTTATCAATGTAAGTGTGGTTACAACTACATGAAAACTTATAAACCACATTGTTTTACCACATTGTTTTTCTCTGAAATGTTAATGATAATATTATTGTTGCTTAATCTTTTCTGGATTGTGTTTCTGTTTGTTCAAATTTATTTAGTGTTACTGTGGCTATACTTTTATTGGTATGTCAGCAGGAAAACACGTTTAGAGTATAAAGAAATCAAGTATTAAAATTATATATAAATTATTGATGATTAATTTTTTATATAAAAACTGTACATAATTTACTAAATATTAATGTTTTTGATAAATATTTCAGGAGGATTATGTAGAATATTCTTATGTAGAATATAATGGTGTCATTTTGAAAGGAACTAAGAGACCGGTAGTTTGATCAAAATGTGAAGAAGATGTTTTTATCAATAATCATACAGTAAGTAGGTGTGTTTTATATTTCAAATTCAAAAATACCTTTTACTTTTTCATAAAAAAAATTAAAATAAAATGTAATATTGTATATGCAATATTACAATTACCTAATCTTTGATTAAGAGATTAATGTTTATATGGAAAAATATGGAGTCTTGGAACCTATTTCCAACATATATTTTAGTTTTTGGCTTAAATTATTTTGATTTATGCAAAACTCACCAAACCAACTAACCTTTGTAAATCAATAGCTAGGTTTATATCACTTTTTTATATTTCATAATATAATGTAAAATCATATAATTAATATATTAGATAAAATATATCAAAAGAAAATATAAATTAGCACTTTAATTTGTGAATTTTAAAATAAACAATTTTTAGTTTCTGGATCAATTGTTTTTGGTTTTGTTGACTTAGTAGTACAGTTAATAATTCAGTAGAGTCCCGTAAACTCGGCAGTCGATAACCCAACAGTCCGAATAACTCGGCTACACCCTGGCACGGCGAAAAAACATCCCTAGTTAATTTTCATTATAGACAGCTTTATGGCTCAAAGTATTTTTCTGATGTTTGTCTTTCAGGTAAATTACTGTACACTGTGTATTCATTAATTTTCATTTTCATGTAGTAAAAGCTCTATGTTTTCATTAAGTATGTACTTTTCCTTTGTTTAAGGGTATTTGGGCAGTTAATTTTTTGTTGTATTTTCAAGCAAACAATACATAAAAGTACAGTACAGTATTTTCTAAGTAAACACTCTTACTTATTCTTTTTTAACCCCATTTCCGATAACCCTGCGTTTTCCAAACTCGGCCACCTTCAGTCCACATTAGGCCGAATTTTCGAAACTCTACTGTACCATATTTTGATGGCACATTGACAAGTTACTCTTACATCAGATATTTATATATATATATATAGCATTGAATACATAAAAATTTTTTTATATATAAAAAATATTTACAAATAATAATAGATGAGAAAATCAGTATCAAAATGATTTTATGGCACTTCTAGTAGTAGTTCATGGCACTCTGAAAACCACTGTTCCAGATGATTGATTGAAGCTACTAAAAAAAGCATTACCTTTATTAGAGTAGAATGCGAAATAATAATACAGATTTTATGATTACATCTTACACAAAAATCATAAGTGTAATTCAAATTTAGAGATTTAGTTTTTTTTATGTTAAATGATGCCAGGAAAATTGTTTTGTTTCCATGGATTACTAATACTTTCATTCAACAACAAGAATAAAAATATGCATTTGATGACCAATTGAAAACTTAAATTTTGCTATTGGCTAATTAATCATGCATAAATTAGAAATAGATTATCATATTTCTCAAATTACAATCACACACTGAAATTGTAACACTTTTAGTTTAGAAACACATATAATCAGATAGATAAAAAAATAAAAGTACTTCCTGAACCTGATTAGACATCATGATAGAAAAATACACATTCCAAGATGTCTGCTTTTAAAAAAATACAAAATCTTATAAAATTTCTGAGAAATCATAAATTATGCTAAAGTGTATAATAATGTTTTTGCTGCAAGATGTTACAAAATGGACTAAATACAAGTATAAAAATGAAATTGTATTTGAAGAAGGTACTAGAAACTGCTCACACCACCATATGGCTAAAAATGGTGAAAAAAATGAAAAAATGTAGAAATTTTGTAACTAAACTTATATAAGAATATTAAAAAATTACAATAAAATGGATACACTACTCAAATACCTTATAAACTGCAGCCAAATTTATTATCAATTTCAAACGTTTCCGGTCATCTTTAATGACCTTTATCAAGAACTAAAAAAATCGAAAGCATTCGATTTTTGTTAGTTCTTGATAAAAATCATTAAAGATAAACGAAAGCGTTTGAAATTGATAAGAAATTGATAATAAATTTGGCTGCAGTTTATAAGATATTTGAGTAGTGTATCCTTGTTACCAAATGCAGTCTACGGAGCGATTACAAGAAAATTGTATTAATATCACTTTTAATTAAAATAAATAAACAAACATCTGTAAAATAGAAATGTTTCACTTGTATTAAAAATTAAAATAAAGCTTTGTGCTTCTGAAAAATACAGTAATTCATTATTATTAGTTTTCTGTAAGTATAGGTATGTTTTCTGGAAAAAGAAATTTTTATAATTTGTTTTCATAAATTTAAATAAACAAACATCTGTAAAATAGAAATGTCTCACTTGTATTAAAAATTAAAATAAAGCTTTGTGCTTCTAAAAAATACGGTAATTGATTATTATTAGTTTTCTGTAAGTATAGGTATGTTTTCTGGAAAAAGATTTTTATAATTTGTTATCATAAATTACAAAATTAATTACTTTGAAATTTAATTATTAAGAAATTTTTTCTAACATTGAACTTTTTACTCTTTTAAACAGTCTGTCTGGGGTTCGTATTGGTGTGACGGTCTTTGGGGATATAAATGTTGTCATTTGTTCATCAAGAATTCTTATTGCACTGGAAATAGTGGAAAAGAAGCTGCTGAACAGGTAATGCAATTTTTTATTAATAAAGTAGGATAATTTTGTATAATGCCTACTACCATATATACTGTACAGTACATTTATTAATATGTCTGCTAAATATTCTGCTTACTCAAATTTGAACAGGAATCTAAAGGCATATCTACACGATCAACCAAATACTGTTTTCGATGTATTTAATTTTTAATGTCATTGATGTTTTTAATGGTGCCAATTCTATGAGCTATACTATATGTTTATTTCTCTTGTAATAATAACTGGAAGCCATATTTCAAAGATTAGACCTTGACCAATACTCAGTTTTCCATATTCTTTGTCCAAATTGCCATTTTGTTACATGACAAAAATGCTTTATCTCAATTGGTTGGAGGTTTTAAGATCTTGAATCTAGTAGAACAACATTCTACTTTAGAATTCTCAAATTTAAGAACTTTGAAAAGATAAATTGTCTGCTCCACATTATCAAAGTAGCTTGAATACGATTTTTACATTTCAGAAATTTGATTGAATAGGTGCACCTTAAGAGAAAGTTTCAAAACTATTATGCCTAATCATTTTTTATTGAGACAGAATGTATTTATAAATGAAAATTAGTTATTTAGTGTCGTTTGAATTTTTTTCGTTGTATTGATTTTTGCATCAGCATTACCCATTCTTCTTTCATTATGCCATTCTTAATCGTTATTTGAAGAAAAGAGACTATTATTGATTCTCTCATCAGTACCTTTTGGATAAATTCTAGAAATTTATGACTTGTATAAAATTAACCAAAATTGGAGAATTATAATGGGTTTTTTCCCTTTAAAATATTATATATAGCCCATAATCTTAGTATATATAAGAATATTAAAGAAATGAAACTGGTCAATTTTATTTAATCATCATTGGAGTTAATTATTCATATATTTCAATTTAAATAAAGGAAAATTGTTGTAAATTTACTGTTATGGTAGAATTCCAATTATTTGTATGCCAATCATCAAACCTCCATTATCAGGTCATGCTTTTCTCCCAAAAAAAGTTCTTGACAGATATCCCAGACCACGAGAATAGTAAATATGTACCCATTGTCACTCCTGTAAACAAAAGGTACTGAACAAAAATATATCTATTCATGCAAAAAAATATATAATTTAGTATCTAGTTACATGCATTAAGAACTTCACTTTTGATTCTTTAACAAAAATGACTGAAATATGTTTCTAATTTGAATTAATTATGTAACTCTTATTATTCAAGTTTTGTTGCTTGAAAACTGACAAAATATTATTTTTTCCAGGCCTCGCGTGTAGTAATCTTGCCACCAGACAATGATGATGACTTAATAGAGCAAGTAAATGAAGAAACTCCCAAGGAACAAGATGTACCAATAACCACTACTAAACCTAAAGCATTAATTGAGGTTTGTAATGCATTTACTTTTAAATATAAATTATATATTGATAGTCTAGGACAGTGCTTCTCAACCTTTTCTTGTGCATGGCACACCTAGGTACTTTCCAGAATTCCATGGCACTACAAGTAAAAGTATACAAAAAATATAGATGTTGGAAAGAACATACCAAAAAAAGTATTGATTTGTTGTTATTTACATGTGATGATATAAAAAATATTTAAAATTATTATTCTCAATATCCAGTGGGTAGCTGATGAATACGTAGATTTAGTATATGTCTCTTTAATCCGAATTAGTAAAAAACGGTAACTTTCTCTCAGCTATAAGGTTATGTACTCCTTTATTGAAAATCACAAATGCATTTCAGGCCTATATGAGCCTCTCTTCAGTGTAAATGCTGTTCTTTTTATCCATTTTATTTTCAAATAGTTCTCAATATCTGGCCCAAAATGCATTTGTGATTTGCAATAAAGGAGTACCTAACCTTATAGCTGAGAGAAAGTCTACCGTTTTTTACTCATTCGGATTAAAGAGACATATACTAAATCTGTTTAAAATTAGTTTATAACTGATTTTTTTATTTCTTATTTTTATTTTATTTCTTCACAACCCCAAAATCACCCTGAACAAAATGTCATGTGAAAAGCATGTGATTGGGGTCTCAACTCTGTGATCATAGGTACATATGATGGCGACATCACATACTTGTCGCTTCACAAAAATCAAAATGGTAACTGTGACATATGACTTGCCAAATTTATATATACCCAAATTCTGTGAAATATTGACTACAAAGGTTTAAAAATTTGAAGCTTGTTAAAATTCCTTCTGTCACAAATGTCAGTAACAATAAATATGTAATAGCTAATTCATTTACCTTTTGAAACATGTACTTATCATATTCACTTGTTCACCATAAACTCTGTATTTTTTCTCCTTTGGAGGCATTGGGCCATGGCACACTAATTGTGGAGCTCTGGTCTAATGTACAGTATATCTCTAACTCAACTAGCTCATTCTGCAGTCCAGATTTGGACTGCAGAATGGCTTTGTCTGAACCACCAACCAATTCCAGTTTCTAAACCTTTCACTTTTGTATTTATGGCTAATGAGTTTTCTATCAATATTGTATTTTCTCCTAATATAGCCATTATTGGTGGTTGTGAAAACAAACAAATTGTAACACTTATTTTCCTAATTGTATTTTTGGGATTCAGGTTATAACATGTTATATCAAACTTATTTTAGCTTGTAATTTATCCACAGGCAATATTCAAAAGTTTGACAGTAATGTACAGATGAAATATTTCTGATGATTATGATATCAAAAGGTTCAACAACAATTCTCTAAAACTATACTTCTATGTATTGTCTTGATAAACAGTAATTAAAAAAGCACACTTACATTACTCATCCTTGAAATAAACTTTCAATATTAAAGGATAAGTTAACTAACTGGTAGAACATTTCATTAAATCAGGTGGTAAATGATCATTCATCCTTCAATTGGACTTCTAACATACTATGTATGGTGTCATACTAGCATGAATCAGTTTGCATTCCTTTATTTAAATTTATGTTGTTTTCATGCTTCCAAATTTCCACATGTTCTTTAAATTTCCTTTTAAATTGTTAATTTTCTTTATGAAGAACTTTAATTTTATCTATATCTGGATTGCAAAGACACTCCTTTACATGCTGAAGCCATGGAAAATTTCTATACTTTTATAATATAGCAGTTAGGAGTTCCTTAATTCTTGTATTTAATTTCCTCTTTTTTTTTCTCCTCTATAAACTTTAGATGGTTGTCAAACTTTTGAATATCTCCTGGAGGTAAATTAGATATGTATAATTGTGAGTGGCAAAATAGTTTTACTTTGTTAGTGTTTAATTCTGCATAATAATTACTTATCAAGCATATTGTATTATTTAGATGTATTGCTGAAGAGGAATCACTAATGTATTGTGATTCAAAATGCATTTAATTTTATCCTAGCCTGAAAATAAATTTGTTAATACAAATTTATTTTCAAGTGTCAGTAGAATCATTTGACTCATCCAATGTAAGAGAATAAGATGAAAAATAGGAAAATAAGTTACATCAAACCCATTTTTTTAGCTTGTAAACCAAATTAATGATAATTTTGATACTAATCTGCTTTGTTGTCACTTGTCTAGAACCACTGCAAACTAACATTCTTAAATATACTCACAGAAATATATTCACTGAAAATAAATTTGTTTTGTAACTTATTTTCCTATTTTTCACCTTATTCTGTTACATTGGATGAGTCAAGTGATTCTACTGACACTCCTTGATTGGCCATTTTTTTGGGATTATTTAATGGTGATGAATTTGTGGAAAACTTTCACAATATGCTTATCCTGGAGAGAGAATGAGAATAGAAAATATTCAAGTCCTCAACATCTTCAATTCTTTTGCCTTGAGTGGGAAAGAAACTATCTGTGACAATTGATGGTACTCCTGCAATGTCTGATTGTGAACTATGTGGGCTTGTCAAAACCAAAAATCACAGTGATGTATTTTCTTACTGTTTTATCTATCAAACAGTTCTTTGTGCTAGGCTTTTGGAAGAATCCTCTGTAATCATGGATAATGCTACATTCTTTAGTCCATTTGCTGTAACTTCACATATGAAATATGTTAGGATCATTGATATCTAATATATTTATTCTCTTTCAATCTAATTACAATGAAATAAAAGTTTAATGGTTACAATGATCTGGACTGGATTCTAGTTACATCCTATTCAATTGACCAACCCCAAACAAAGATGTACATGAATCACATGTGTAGAGATAACCAACCAGATCCCTGGTTGTTAAGTTATCACATGTGCAAAAACAACCAACACAACAAAAGGAAGGAGCAATGTGGCCACTTCATTATTGCAATACATACTACAAAATGTATCCTTCTGCATCACCTATCTCATTGTAGAAGCAACATTCACTCTCTCCCTGAAAAAACTGTGTGCAAAGTTTACATCATCATCTGAGTTATACTTTGTATCATTTCTCCTTTCAGTCTACATCATTATCTGTACTTCCTAAAACAGCTGCTATTTCTGAACTGTTTTCAGAACAAAGAAGAAAGGTAATGTTTACTTTCAGCCAATTGTGGATCTGCAGTGAGCATTTTCTTTTTTTCGCATACATAGTTTAGATTTTAGTCTTCATTTTCATTTCGCATACATAGTTTAGATTTTACAACTACCCTTCATATAGGACACTTTTTTACAAGCTAAAATCTTCTAAATCATCATCTAAAAACTGTCAATTTAATAACTATGATTTAAAGTCCATTAATTTAATGATGAGAATTGTTGACCTTTCAATCCTAGATAACAGAGTACTGTTTTTGCTAACTATTTTTTACAGAAGCATGCATGAAGTTACAGCAAATAGACTATAGCTAACTTTGTTCCTGTAAAAAGATCTCAGAAGGTGACATCTTTTTTTACAGGAATGTGAAACCAAAAATACTAATCTGTGCTGCATAACAAATGTCCTTTGGCTAAGCAAAGGATTGGATTGATGGGATAAAACAACATGGCACTTGAGCAATCTGCCAAGGGGAATGTCACCTGGGAGGATTTTTATGGAAAACTGACCCCTAGTTAGATGTCAGAAACATGAAAAAAATGCAGAGATCGCCAAGCAGCCAGACTGTTGATGAGGCACAAACTTATCTGCCATCTTTTGATGAAAAAATTTCCTGGACAAATAAGTTTTTAAACCTAGAAAATTTAAAAAAAATGTTTCCTATAACAGATAACACTTCATCCTTTTTTACACACATCAGGAATTAACAGCCTTCTGGGCAGAGTTGATCTTTCGTTAGAGGTTTCTCATCTATTTCAGTATGTAAAATGTTAAAATGTTTTACATATTTTAACATTTACATATGTAAACTTTTTAATCAAATGTATAATTTTTAATTGATTGTGCCATTGCCATAAGGTAGATTTTAATGTTTTGTGTATTGAGGCAGACAAATAGCCTCTAAAGAAAGGTCAACTCCACCCGGAAGACTATTAATTCCTGATGTGTGTGAAAAGGATGAAGTTTAAGGACATATATTATGTATTGTTTGTTACAGGAAATTTTTTAATAAATTTTCTAGTTCATTTATCAACATTCAGTGATTTTATCCATTTAGTTACTAGTGAGCTGCTAATCATTTTGGTATTCTTTTCTGTTACATTATTTAAAGGAAATTTTAGTTCTGGTCTACAACACACTCCTACCCATGAAATTCCAGATTGTTCTTACCTACTACTAGCAGTCTTAAAGAATAACATTAAGCATTAAGCAATAACAACAACATTAATCATACCACAACAATAATAATTCAGAGAATTGATTTAAGAGAAAGTTAGACAATCATAGCCATATACTAAATATTCTTAAACAATTCACTTCACTTCCAGAGATTACTGCAAGAAGCAAATAAAGTTTAGTGTCAACGAATGTAAATGAGACAGGCAGAACATAATTTATAAAGCCACTTTATACCATTTGGTATAAAAGTAGACGAGAACCAAATTGATGGTCGAGACGGTGCACAATAGCAGCGCTAGGTGATCGGTCTCATCCCGAGTAACAAGTATTCAAAAAAATTTGAGTTTAATTAATTTTAAAATTAAGAAACAATTATTATTATTGCTAAAAATTTAACAATGAAATTAATCTTTGTTGCTGTTATTAACATATGGAGCAATTGTCAACCCATGCTAGAATTATGCAAAAATAATGTAGTATAAAGATGGTGATGAATGATCTGAAAGATTAAGAACCCATTATAATTATTTTTGTTGATTGAATTTATGTAAGTGATTGCTATATCTTATGTGGGTAGAATCAAGATGAATTAATTACATATGGAGGGTTCAGTTATAAAGTGAATAGACTTTATGCAAACCCTTTTAGAGATAGTGAGTTATTTAGGAATTATTATTTTAATTTATAAAAGAAATCAAAATACACTAATGGGTACTATGTATATTTAATGCATTATATAACTTATCATCTTTCCAAACATAAAATGCAGAAAGATTACAAATAACTTAAAATTTCTTTTATCATCTACATTGTATTTAAATTAGATATTTTGGATAATTATATATTTCCCAATTAGAAGTTCAAGTGAAAAAAAAAAACTATGTGAAGTGCATTGAAATATCTTTATTAGCAATTTAAGAAATGTTATTAAATAGTTAAATCAAATTTAGGACAGTTTAATTAAAAATTAACAATACAACTTGCAATACACATGTTAATCAAATTTCATGTTAAGCAAAGGATACCTGTATTTTTATTTATTAATTAATTAAATATCAATGATTATTTCTGTCTTTTATCTTTTACTCTCAGACTGCAAATGCAGATGTTATGTTATGGTACATCTTTTTATTCAAAAGAATTACATAATTAAACAACTTAAATCAAAAATAAAATTTTCCTTTTGAATAGTTACTGTGTGTTTTAAACTTTTAAAATATTTCTATTCTTTTTATTTAATTTTAGCTCTATCAAGAACAAATGCTAGAGAAAAAGAGACAGAAACGCTTGAAGAAGAAGCGACGTCAGAGAGAGAATGCCAAAAGAAGAGCCGCAAAGAAGAACGAAAGTTCGGAGAGCGAATCCATCGATTCGGATACTTCGGATGAGGAAAAATTAAATAGAAAGAAAACCAAGAAACTGAAAAAGGTATTTATCATTTATAATTTTAAATAATGAAACAAAGTTTCTCCCGTATAATTTGATCGTATAGTTTGTGGCATTGTCCAATATCATCTTTTCTCTTTACCTACTTTCTTACAAACCCATTCTGCAAATTTTCCCATAAAATACGACAGATATTCCAAGTTTAGACGATGAATTAGACGTTGCAACTTACGGATCCATCCGCCACAATGCATTTTATTTTGCATTTGTTATTTCCATTTTGTCTAATAATCTTAGCCAGTTACACATAACCTAAATAATGAAATTGTTTTATTAATATACTAAGTGCTGGTGATACCATTTAACCGGTTACTGTTCCTTTGCCCAAATACTAGTAATTTACTTTATCATTTTGGACATAAAACCCGATTATACGTTAATAATAAATACTTTCAAAATATTCTTTTCCACCAATTGATACTTTCAATAACATTTCTTAATGTTTCTTCAAGATACATAATTTAAAGTGATATATTGCTCTGCCAAGGTTTTAAAAGTGATTTGTAAGTATCAGAAATCAGAAATATTAAGTTTTATTTTTTTGTGGGAGTGATTGATGGGTAGTTATTTTTAGATTGGCATTGTTTTATTTAATGGTGTTTGATATTTTCTATTAAATTAGATCATTTTCAAATTTTTTACTCTCCTTCCTCATTTGTTTATCTGTATTACTGCTAACCTAAACCTAATTACACATTTGACCACTCCAGTGCTTTCCAGCTACACCAAGATAAGACATTTTAACACATACTTATAGCAAAATAAAACTAATCGGTTTTGTATTAATTTATAGTGTTCATTTTTACCTCTCACGGTCGAAGATTCTTTGTACATTATACTAAATCTTAAAACGTCTTACTTCTATTATCTTTGTGCTTGGGAGAAAGGGGAAAAATATAGGTATTACCGCAGAACTACCGTATGACGAAAGCCCGTCCCTTTTTTGAACGAATTCGTTTATTTATTGTAAACGTCACAACAGAACTAATGCTCTACAGACTATGCATAATATAGCACTACTTTTGCTGTGCTGGAAAGATCACTCTTGCCCGAATAAATGTTAAAATGTATGTTTTTTCCTTTGCTAGGAAACTAGAACGAAAGGATTCTGTAACCGAGTCATCTACGGTGATTGTCCTATTAGTTTTTGAATTAATTGGTCGAGAAGTGACTTTTGTTACCACGGTAACACTATTCTACACGAGCGGAGTCGATCTTTCTTTAGAGGCTCTTCTTTGTCCAATTAAGTGTGGGCAAAGAAGAATCTCTAAAGAAAGATCGACTTCTTTAATGCAAAATTGTATTCCGGCAGTTGCAAAGGCTATTTGTAAGGTTTTGAATTCTTATTTATAACTTATTTTCCACTAATAAATGAAGATTATATATTAGAAACTGTCATCCTAAATTTAAAAAAAATTTCAATTGGAATTTTTCCAAGTGGTTTCATAATTCAGACCAAGTCAAAATATTGATTAAGGGGTTAAGCAAGTTTTCTGATGCTTTAATAGACAAACAAGTGTTTGGACACCAAAAACGGTGTCCAAACACTTCTCCAGCTACGATTGTTAGGAGAACATACCACCGACGTAAATGTTTGTTTAAGAAACTATGCATTAATAACATTTTCTCTCTCACTTGTCTTTCTATCGTTGCTCGATTTGTTGGAAGTTTTCTATTACCGTTTTTTTTTTATAGGATAAGTAGAAAATATTTACCTTTTTATTTTCTTAAACAGGCTCTGGAAGAAGAGGAGGAATCTAAAAGAAAAGCGGATCGGCTGTTGGCCATGGACGAAAGGAAGAGACCGTACAACAGTATGTACGAAAGCAAGGCACCCACCGAAGAACAGATGGAAGCCTATTACATAAAACGGCAAAGACCCGACGATCCTATGGCCGCATTTCTGACCAAAGACTAATACGCACAGTACATATTGAATGATTTTGTAACTGTTTGTATATAATATAAGTCGTATTCGTCTACTCTGTTTATTAATAATCGACTACGATGTTTATTAAAGTATTATAAAGTCGAATTCTTCGCTAAAGAATAAATTATAGTACTGTATCTACCAAGACTCCTTTCGTCACGAAACTAAAATTCCTTCGTCGTCCGTTATATAAATTTAAATGCGATACGACCCAGATTATCCGGGATAGTTCGAACACGCTGCACCTAGGCCCACCGAATCATTTTGGATTAAATATAGATTTATAAGGGCACTTTTAAGCCTCCGTTTGTACGCTAAACTTACTTTTCTTATTGTTTGTGTACAGTCATTCATAAAAGTGGAGTATTCGTTTACGGGCTCGTCTCGGATAAGCGGGGGGGTTATAATAACGACAAACTCCAAAAAGTGCAAGCTACAAAATGCAGGCTGGACATAAAATGCAGAAAAACATGAGTAGGAAGACATCTTCAAGTATTAAGGTCTGTTCACGCGTATCGGTGACGTGTTCCCTGGGTTCCGTGAAATTTCGTCAATGTCGACGATAAATATCTTTGCTTTGAATTCGATCTAAGTATTCACACATCTGGCATAGGCCATATATTTTAGTATTCGGTGTCCACCATCGGTATCTGTACCAGAATTTAAAATATCAATAATAATTTGATTTTTCACTGACATTGTTTTGTGTAGTCTATTTGTGCATATACCGGTATTATTTTATATAAAAATGTTTGATAAATTGTTTAATATTTTATTTATATAGTTATAAAATTTTTGTTTTTTATGTATTGTATTTTTATTATATTATATTTCGACTTTCCCAAACCAGCTAACTAACTATTAGTGATTTCTGGAGTTTTTTTTTATCGTTCTTCATCCAAAACTACGGCAATAATTGCTAATTCTGTGTCTGAACGTCGTCATTTCAAATATCACCGACGTGACACCGATCATACTGCGTGGATAACTGTTATAGGCGTCACTGATAGTCGCGGATGTCATTGATATGTGAGAATAGACCTTTAATGTACTACTAAGCCACATCATTTCTCTAGAAAATGTCGTTCCTGATCCAAAGAAAATTCGAGCAGAACCCTTTCCTCATCCCGAGAACGTATTGACATCGAGATTCTTGGGAATGGCCAGTTTCTCGGCTAAGATTTCGCTAAACTTGCTGGTTGTAATTAAAGTATTGTACGAGTTGTTGGCTCGGCGATATCGAATGGGTCTGGAACAATGCTCAATTCCATTCGTTTTTTAAAGAATTCCATTTTAGCATTGTACTTTCCGTTAAGCCTCCTCCCATATTAAATCTCACTATAGATTGCATTAAATGCCTCCTGTTTTAGCATTGTAAGATGCTTTTAAAAGTGCACGTTATCACTCGATCCATCTTCACCTGGACTCTGCAGAGTACTGCCACAAAGACGACACCGTAATGAGCTCAAACCTAATAGCACTTGCGTGCAAAAAGTATTATAAACAGATTGAGAAGGAACACTTCATATTATGAAATTGTGATAAATTCTCAAATTTTATATTGAAAAAAACTATACGCATACAGAGTGATCGTAAGCTCCTTGTCTCCACACTTGGCTAAAAGGACCCCGACAGTCTCGCATCTAGGATGCAATGAATAAAACCATGTCTCGTGGATTAGTTTTAACATAAAATACAAACGTGGCAAGCAACTATTAGTTGTCGACATTCCCTTAAGAAAGCCAGTAATGTCAACCAAGAACTAGCAGAAGAGAGATTTGCTGTACTGTACAATTATCATTGCACACTATTCTGCAAGTGTGAAAAATTAGTAAAAATAATTAATAAACAAGTAAAAGACCTCATTTATTTAGAACTGACAGAATACTGCAAACATGGTTGACCCAGCATAAGTTGTATCCAAGTATACTAATCAAAACGTTGGCCATCCAGTAAATTATTTAATGTAAATTTGACAAACGTTTTCGATCTTACATTAAATTATTTACTGGATTGTCAAGATTTTGGTTGACGTACTTAGGTATCGATCTAGTTATCGGGAAGAAGTTAAATAAATGAAAAGGAAATGTAACGTAGGTCTAATAAAAAATGCCAACGAAATTTACTTATTAAACATAGAAACGAAAAGCATAAAAGTAAATCAAATCAAATAAAAGCAAAAAAAAAGTAAATTCCGGAATTCCACAGACGAAAATTAACACATTTTTCTCCATAATTTAACATTAATACGTTTATAAAATTATTTTTCAATCGCCGGAAACCATTCGAGAAATTCGTTTCTCACGCGACATTAACGCATAATAAGTGGCATTCCCAAGGCGTAAATAATTTCTATGAATTTTCATATATATTACACGTCACGGTCCATTTGCACCCACCTTATCAATGGGATTTGTCACCGGGAAATTGTAACGAATTTGATCATTTCTGTGATTTATAGTAAACCTTACTGCAGAAGATACTTTAAAGTATAAAACACCCCTTGTTAAGTAGCGTTAGAAAGAGTTAAAATCTCTAGAAGAGGAATAAATTTATGCATTTCCCCCCTAATGCGGTGATTAAGCGGTCGATCGTATTGTTAATATTTGTAAGTACAGTATATAAATATTCTTACGATAATTAGGTCGGAAAACGGCAAGTAATGGCAATACTATGATAATCACCTCGCAGAAATTAAACGTAATTACTACATTTAGAACTTTTCTCCTGCAAATATTTGTTTCTTCTCGTTGACAAATTCCAAGATAATATTTCATACTTAAAAACTTGGCAAATTAATTAACGACATACAAAATAAACATAACTCTAATCAAATAATCTAAATAATAATTTGAATAATATTTATAAATTAGCAATTTGCACGTTATATTTCGCAATTGTTTGGTGGATACAATGCTCGTTTCTTATGTCAACGTTATCCGAAAGCAGTAATGTTAAATGATAATTAACTAGCGTTTAATGGTGTTAAATTGTGCATCTAGAACAAATATTGAATTTTTTAAACAAATACCTTTAATTAATAATATAATTAAATTTTTAGGTAATTAAGTATAGAGCTCTGCTTAATTATTTTTTAAAAAAGGTTATGTACGCGAGTAATAATTAAAATATGACCCGATTCATTGTGAAGCCCAGTATCTCGCGATACTTGATACTGTACAAGGATCTTAGTTTGGATTCCGTGTATAGACAAGCATATAGTTTGTAGCGTGTCGAGGCCCTAGGCAAAGGTCTAGACGTCTATGCATAAAGTCGCCATTGTACTTAATATAAAATAACTCCGAGGCTGCCACCCCAACTGCTCCGGGTCCCTCGGAACGGTTAGGGGGGCAGCCTACCGCTCTGAAGGACCCGGGATCGAATCCACACGGGTCGAAAAACCCAGGAATTTTTCGAAAATAAAGGGTGATGAGGGATGGGGCCCCTCCGGATGAGTCGGGCCCCCATCCCTCGTCACCCTTTCTTTCCGAAAAATGTCCCGAACCCATAAAGGGCTTGCTAAAATGTCCCTCAGTGCCAACAGGGCGAAAAGTTTTTTAAAATACAGTCTATAGAAATAAATAAATATAGAAACTTTCTTTAAGCTTTTTTCTGTTTTATAATTTGTGGTTCTTTAGGGATACGGGTTTCGGGAAGATGATTCCAGGAACAAAATCCCAAGAGAAGAATTTTTGATTCGTGTAATAAAATAAATGAACATTAGAGCCTAATTATAACTATAATTATTATAGAAAAGTTTGCCGTTCTCCACGCTTCATTTCTTTCAATTAAAGCCTAAGCAAAAACCGGATTCGATCGGTTTGGATTAACCGAATGAAGCAACGAGACACGAGGACGATTTGCCAAGGGAGAAGTCACCCGAAAGGGCTTTCTATGGGGTTAGATTAAGGATTGACGGTATAAGATAGCCCACTCATGAGTGTGCCAAGGGTCAATCTCCCGGGAGGACTTTTATGGAAAACTGGACTGCATTTAGTTGTTATACGGAGCCGGCTTCACTATTAGGAAATGGCCTTGCGCCGCCGAGATACGAGGGCACCAGCCTTACAAATAAAGGTCATTAATTAGTGTCCATTCATAAACATTTTTAAAAGTGTTCCTAATACTATTTTAATAAATATCTATGTGTGCTCGTTTATGATAATATATCTATTTTCTTTGCTTAAGGACGTCAGATATTCTTGTGCCGGCCCCGGTGTTATAAGGAGAATGAATCAAGCAAGAACTATAAGATACTCATGATGATAATTAAAATTTCAGGTGTAACACAGCTCCATTGTCGACCTGGACGAAGAGAAAGAGGACTCTTTCTGCCCACAGGGCGGAAAAAGTTAAGCAGAAAAATACTTTTAAAAATATGAAAATGTATCTTATAAGGTATTTAAAAAGCAAAAATAAACAGATAATTTCTGTCATTAAAGTAACGTTAAAATCTGTCCGATGCGTCACGTAAGTTGCATTTCTTATGCTTTTTTGTATCCTCGGGGTGAAATCTAAACATATTTTGTACAAAAGCAAATACTTTAAAGATCGGAACGTTTGTGTTTCCACTCGGACAATTTTCCCAGTAGTTAGAGCAGAGCATACGAATTACATTTTGTCTCGATTAAATTCAATCGAGTATGAAATTATAGAAGCAGAAACTTTAAGATTTTTTCACCTTCTGGGGATAATCTGATTTAAAACGGTAATCACGTGATACGTGCCGAATAGTATTTAAAGCCGAACGTTTTCATTTCGAATCATTCACTTCTCTCGCCTTCCAAACACACGCATTGTGTTGAACACGATGTACTCGACGGTAAGAATACCACACGCTTATATATCATTTGCTTTACCATGATGATAATTTAAATTTAATGTGTTTTTTCAGTGTTTAATTTCCTTGCTTGCGTGCGCTCTTTTGGTCCAAGTTTCTTCTTACGGAAAATCATGGTCGCATCACGGAGGAGACTGGAAGAAGATGTCTGACGATCACGGTTCGCACGGGCACGGACACAAATTCGACCACGACGACTGGGGTAAGTGGGACAAGCACGGTAGCAACCGACATCACGACCAAGGTGGACATAATTTCGATAAATACGGCAAAGATAACGAAGGTTCCAACCATCACGGATTCGACGGGCACGGATCGCACGGTGGATCCAATTGGGGTGGACACGGAAAGCACGACGAATCGGACGGAAGAATACATTACCACGACAAAGGACAGAAGCATAACGGTTTCAAAAATTCGTACCACAAACAAGAGTTAGGAGATCACAAATCCCATCACGACATCGCCAGCCAGGGCAAGTATCATAAGAATTACAACGACGAAGATCATTGGAAGAAGTACAACGGAGAAAAATACCATAAAAATCATCACAAAAAGGAATATTTCGATAACAACGAACACGGAGACGATTTCCGCAATTTTGAAAAAGGCGGACATAACGATCACCACGGAGAAGACTACAAAAAGGGTGGCGAATATTCCAACAAAAAGTGGGACCATAAGGATAATAATGATCGCCATCATCATTCTGGCGGAGAGATGGGTGGTCACGGCTCTAGTCACGGTAAGGGTGGACATTACATAGGTCATCATCATCATTGAAACGAGTAACGACGTTACACCCGTTGTCGAAATCGGAACCGAGAACGAAACCGAATAAGAAAATGGTTACTTTATAATCACTTCTTCGATGTTTTGGATGTTGGTGTGTGTTGCATTTTTAAAACTGTTTGTGTCTCGCAATCTATTGTTACGCAATGCTTTAAATTATTATGTTTTTATATTCGATAAACTGAAAATTTTGATGTTATTGTTCCTAAGGCTTAAGTAACCACAGCAAACTTTCCTTTTGTACGGAAAGAAAACAATAAAATATAATTTATAAGTTAAAAAATGAGTTACTGTATTAAATTTTACAATAGATTTGTATTCGACCGTATTATTTTAGTCCCATCGTTGAATTATACTAAAGATCACGAAGGTTCCAACATCACGAATGCGATGGGCACGGATCGCGCGGTGGATCCAATAGAAGAAATACCACACTTTTTAATTGTTTTAGTTGCTACTTGACTTAAACTTACGGTTTCAAATAATGAATAGTTGGTGGCTGACGGTATGTCTCATTTCCGGAAAAATTCGAATTCGAGTGACGTTTGCGAGGATTTTTCCTTCCTCTTGAGATCGTTTGGTATTTTCTAATTGGAAAGAAATTATCGCATAAATATAATGATAAACTCTCAATAGTCAGTTCTTGAGAATACCATTTGTATATTGTTATAGTTCTCGATTAACTCGAGAGTTCTCCATTGTAGTTATCTTCTCAACAGTTTCGAGACAATACGAAGCTCAACCGTGGAACATTTGAAAGAACGACCACATGAACAATGTAATGCGTTCCAAATTTGTCTAATATTAAAAGAAAATTCAATACTACGTTCTAATTTATTACAGAATCTTTACGAAGTGTTCTAATTCTATAGGTTTAATTTCAATATTTTCAATAACTATTAATAAATACAGAAGATAGCGATTAAATAATAAATGGTATAAGACTAAATAAATATTAAATTGACATTAATAGAAATGAAATAATATCTCGGCTAGTATCAGAATATATCTTTTAACTCGAGCTTTATTGAGAGTCGGATGGCCGAGGAGGTTAAGGAAGCCGCTCGGAAACCCGTGTCGAATCCAGACGGATCGAAAAACCTCATGAATTTTTCGGGATTAGTCCATCCCGGATACGTACGTCGGGCCCCGTCCTTCACCACCCGATCGCCCCATTGCGGGCCTGGCCCAACCATAAAGGGCTGGCTAAAAGAGGCCCTCTTAATGCCCACAGAACGGAAAGAGTAAAAAAAACCACCCGTCCCACTGTGGACCTGTAAAAAAAGGACCAATAGTGCTCACGGGACGAAAGTAAAAAAAAATACACGGGCGATTTTGTATTTTAAATGAAAAAGTGTGTAAGTGTAAATTAATGTTTACCTTCTTAATAAGTTTGTTTTTAAATCTCTAATTTAATGTTTGGGTTTATTGTTATCATTATAAATATTTTTAGAGTGTAACAGAAAGTTGGCAACACTGTCGATACATCATTCATGCTACGAAGTGTCGCTGGTAGCAGAAATTCGTCTGACAGTTTATTGTGGTAATAAATCCGAACCAAGATATATTAAATGGCCGCAAACGTTCGACAACAATTACTACATCTGGCAAATTTAGGAGGATCTCCTAAAGATCAAGTCGATAGGTAATTTATCTTATATATTCTCTTATGAGTTGTTTAACACAGGGAAAGTATAAGATAAGAAAGTTAAATTTCTAACAAAATCGTTTAAATAATTGTAATATCGTTAATAAATGTATTATTCGTTGATATGTAAGAAAGGTAAAAGTTTGAGAGAAATTCCAGAATTTTTAGACAAATTATTCTATGTTTCAGTGTATAGAAAGGCTGCAAAATCTCTATGCGTGAGATTTTGCAGCCTTTGTCTATAAGATGCCAGAGAAAGTTTGCATCTTCTAGATAAAGATTATCCTCATGGCAAATTCGGCAAATAACGGATCGAATGCGAATCTTACGGGGTTTGATCTCTCGAAATATGGATTTGATAACGTTAGACTGGTGAAAGAATTTCTTAATACTATTTTACGAAAATCAAACGTCTAAATCAGTGTTCCGCAATCTTTTTTTACTCGCGGCACACCTATGACTAGACATGACTCAACACGGCACACCAAAATGTTATTCCTCTCAATAACGTATGATATGATACTATTAATAGAATTTCGTAATGCCATAAACCACAAAACTCAATTATGTTGAGTTTTGTGAGTTACACTAGGTGGACACCGATGGCTGTGTACTATGCCAGACCAGAGTCAAGGCATAGTAACTTCAAAAAAAAACAAAAATTAAATAAGCGTGTCATTGTATGTCTGTATTCAGGAATTTCCTAACGATATGACATTTATTCAATATAGAGACCTTTTGTAGTATGACGTATGTGTTCCCAGGCTTTTGTGTAGCGTTTGTGGTATGATACCTGTACAGGAGAGAACGACAAGTTCAATAAGCCAACCTATCCATCCTCCACAGATGTCTTATTTCCTGGCCAAGTTCCGTGTACTTGCTGATTTTTTCAGTGCATGTGTTTTGTACATTGTGAGTGTTTGGAACAGATATGTCTATAATGTATGTGATTTTATTGTGTTTGTCAATGAGTGTGATGTCTGGTTTGTTGTGGTAAATTGNATGGATGTCTAATAATTTGTGTTTCTTTGCAAGCTCTTGATGTATTTGCTACTTGATTATGTCGATGTAAATTATGTCTGTACCAAGAGTTTGCAACCATAAGTGATGTGTTACATAGTTTTTGGCATAATGTGACATTTTCTGCAAGTGTCATTTGTGAGTGTTATATCTTTCAGTGTGTGTTTTGTGTAGTTTTTAGTATTTAATACCTGATCCTGTATGGCAATCATAAATCCTTCCGTCTCGCGAAAGAAGCATCCCCGAGCTAACCAGCTATTTGACGCAGTTTTGTCAACAAAATCCTGGGCTAGGTAGGTGATAGAAATGTCTGTCATAGAGTGTTGTTTGAACCCACGATTGCTTAATTAAGTGTCTATGAATTTTATATGTTCTGTCTTGTCCATATGATGCAAATGTAAGTTTAATGGTGATTTTATTTGAGTCTGCTAGACTTATTGCTTTATGTAACTGTGATGTTTCTTGCTTTTGTAGAAAAACTCGCGCAGTGCTCTTGTAGTGAAGGTTTACTATATCAATCAGACCACGTTTGCCATCTTTATGTGGAAGGGTTAATCTTTCTATGGCAGATTTAAGATGACGTTGTTTAGGCTTAGTAAGCGTTGTTGTTGTTTTCATTTAGAGTTGCTCAAGATCTGTGTGAGTCCAATGTATAACTCCAGAAGAATAAGTAAGTACTGGGACATATGTGTTTATTGCTTTAACATCATTTTATTTCATCAGTGAATGAAATACAAGCATACGAAACACAACAATTGCGATAANATTTAGAGTTGCTCAAGATCTGTGTGAGTCCAATGTATAACTCCAGAAGAATAAGTAAGTACTGGGACATATGTGTTTATTGCTTTAACATCATTTTATTTCATCAGTGAATGAAATACAAGCATACGAAACACAACAATTGCGATAAAAATATATAAATAAAACTTGAAATTAATAGAATATGTAAAAGTTCAAGTCACACCTTTCACCTTGTGACGGCACACTGGTGTGCTGCGGTACACTGGTTGCGGAACACTGGTCTAAATTAATAACGAAATGATAAAGCTCGGGTTACGTAACTTGACGTAAGCTAAGCGGGCGTCGTGGCCGTAACTTGGCATCGACGGGCTTAAATGTACGGATAACTAATTTACGACGATCTAAAAATGGTTGTGGACTTGTTTGTTGACTTCTGATGGACTGCCCGGGAGAACCTGAAGGAGCGTTAAAACTGGCAAGAACTCGTTGGTGGACATTGAGAACCGATGGATGGTCCTGCTCGACCCATGCACTGGTCGTATAGAACTTTCTGGGTTTTTTTTTGGCTGTCTAACATCTAAATAGGGGAGTTTCTCGTAGAAAGTTCACTGGGAGGCATCCTTCTTGGCATACTGCTCTTGTGTTGCATTGCCATATCTCTTGATAATGGAAATTTTATGGAAATTTACAATTTCAAACTGTTACAAATGCTGGTTTTAAATGTTATGTTGTGATTTTTATTTTTTAATAATGAAATAAATAATTGAGGCGAAATGTTAACGAAGTCGCTTCTACGTGGCTTACGGAATTGTGTCCGTTCTCAAAATCCGTTTGATTGATTTTGATTAAACTTTACCATTTTCATTAATTTTGACAAGGAATCCAAAAACATAATAAAGATGGATGTCCCCGACTTTGTTTTCAAAATATAAGGTTGTGACAATGTTTGTGCTGTCTGATGTGACTGAGCACACTTAATGTAATTTAGACCTATTGGTCAAAAATAAAAATAATATTGCGTGCATCTAATTGAAAATAGGTGCAAAAAATGAACAAAACAATTGATGGAGATTGTTTCATTCTTGGATCACTTCCCCATGAGTGAAAGTGCAAGGATTGTATCTCTGTACCCAGCCAGTGTGAGGATTGTATCTCTCATATGAGGATTCCTGTTCTATGTCTAACAGGTGCAGGGATTGCTTCTTTCTTTCCAGCTCTGCCTAAATTCTATTGCAATACGACCTGTTTCTTTCCTGCCCCATGTCACGTCTGGCAGCACCAGGCAGTGCCCACATTGTGTCGCATCTTTGTCAGATTTGTTGTCCCATTGCCCGTTGCCCAAGTTTGGGTCTTGGCACCCTCTCTTCATGCAAAGCCAGGGCTGTTATCTCTGGGGCTGTATCCTGGTCACTGTCTCTGGTCTCTCGTCTCTCACAAGCCGGTCGCTGATTGGCTAATCATTTGGATTAGCCAATCAGCAACCGGCTTGTGACAGATGAGAGACCAGAGACGGTGACCAGAATATGGCCCCTGGTCTTTTTTGTTAGGGGGAACCCCCTCCTAGGACCTGGAAGCTAGATGGCTGTAAGGTCACTAGGGTAGGTTTTCAAGTATGTAAGCCTACTATATTTGCAGTCGATTCTTGGCTATAAATACCTTTCTTTTGTTACCCACCCATGGTCTTTTGTTGGGCCCAGGTTTTGTTAATTGCATGTACATACATTGTTCTTTTGATGTAACTGTTCTTGTATTATTGTGTTGTTAATTTCATTACTGTATACTGTATATTACTGTAATGTCATACTCATTGTATAACTTGGGCTACGACCCACTCGTTGTATTTTCTGTTTTTATTTGGTTTCAATAAATGGGGCTCGGTGCTAGCTTCTCATGAGATCTCATTTCACACTTTCCTATCTTTCTTACCCTGTTTTTACCTTTTCATCCCACCCTTCTTCTCTTCAAAGGCTAAGTTCGGCCTTCTAAACTTTTCCAGTAGTAGTTGTATTGCGATACGTCAAAGTTGTGTGATGGGTAGTAAGTATTTGAAGAAATTTTAAGCCACATAGCACTGTGTATACTAGACAGTCTATACATAATTAATTTAAAAGGATATATTTCTCTCTTTATGTTAAAGATTGCTGCATATTGACTTTAAGAAGTTTATATCAGGTTTTTCATTTTTTCAGATTTCAATCTGACAAGAATGATTCTATAAATTGTGTCTGGACTCATCAGTAAACAGAACACTGCCCAATTTGTTCAAAATCCAATGTCGACGTTTTTTAACATCATTTTAAACAGGGGATCTTAATTCTGTACACAGGGGTCAAGGGAATGCAATATACTGGAATCTGAAAAAAGACCATTTTCTTGATGCTTTTTGTTTATAGTTGTGAAACTACTACTGGTGATCATTGAAAGCTCTGCAAAGTGTTGCTTATCAGATATTCTTCTGTTATAACATTCTGTCAATAGCAGTCCTAGCTAGTAGTCCTATTGAGGAGCAATAATTCTTTATTGTCCACTTCCTGGTTTATCTACAACATTCATTCTTTAAAATTTGGCCAAAAGCTTAAATAAGACACTGCAGTACAGTCTGACCAACCCAGGAAGGCAATCTCCGTAGGCATTGGACTACTTGCATGTACATATCATTTGCAGGGGTAAGGTTAACTAGCATTTGGTTAACATACCTTAGGGATAGAGACTATGCTGACCAGTCACATGCTATACCTTTTATCTTTACCCCTGTCAATGGTCACTAAACTAGTCCATCATATAGAGAGGGGGCATGTCTTCTAGAGTTGGTCAGACTGTACTTTTGGAGTCCTAGACACATTTGTCTGTGACTGGCCTGCTTCTAGCCTTCCAATAATTCTTTCTTTTATAGTATCATCTTTGTGGCATTGTCACTATTATTATCACACAGTAAAAAAAGTAACAACTGTTTTTGATGATTTGATGAAATTTTAATTATCATTTGTGATAGAGTACTCATTTTATAGAAAATAAAAATTATGGATTTGATACTTTTCTATGTGTAAATTTAATATCTATATATATATATATAAAAATGGACATGTATGTCCCTATATTTCACTTTTTCGCCAAAACTACACATTGCACGTGAATGGTGTTTGTATGTGGTAGTAGCCCCAAGTCTCCATTCATGCATAGGGGTGGTTGCGTCTCAATAGCTATAAGGGTGCGGGAGATATGGGCTTGAAAGTGGCTTTCTATTTTGAATGTTTTGTTCGAATTAAATTCGAATATTGGTTCGATTATAGAACAATTGTAAACATTCCAGAAACGTTGAAAAGAGTTCGTTTGACTTGACGTGAACAGGAGACATTCAGAAATCGAATCGGGTCCAGGTCTCTAATTAGACTGGAAACGGGGGACCTAATTCTTGCATTCTGTGAAAACGGGTAAGATTGGCTATAATGTAATTATCTTAATCTTCACTATCGTTACTTTTTAAAAACCCAGCGAAGCGGGTCCTTGCAGCTAGATTCTAGATTACTTAGAAAAACAGTCTTTTATATATATAAAAAACTATATTACATACAAATGTACGAACAAATAAAAACCCAGCGAAGCGGGTCCTTGCAGCTAGTA